CCCCTCCCCGCCGTCCCTGCCCCTACAGCTTGGGAACGAGTGAAGTGCAACAACAAGCGGGAAGACCTGGCCCAGGGCAACGGCTACTGCCTCATTACCAGGAGGTGGGCGGCCGCACCCACACTATGCTGCCCTCCACCCTCACCCACATTCTATGAGCTTCCCCCCCTCCCTCCCCCCGCACACGCACGCACGTACACACACACACACACACACACACACACACACACACACACACACACACACACACACACACACACACACACACACACACACACACACACACACTTACTACGCCGCCCTCGACACATACCCGCACACTCTATCCTCTCCCTCACTCTCACGCAATCCAGACACAAATCTATCCATTTACACAACACATGCTACCATCACCCAACGCACGCTAATATCCTGCCGACACGATACACCCTTTAATTTATGACCACATTCCTGCATATGTATCTGCACTATGTGACTGAACCATTCTCTACAGCAAACTGCAGGTGTTTTGTTAAGTGTGCGTGTATATGTGTGTGTGTGTGGGTGAACGGGTGGATGTGTGCGGGTGTACCCTAAAGTTGGATGAACCGATTTGGCGTGCGTGGGTGCATTGTTGGGAGTGAATGAACAGGGAGAGTATGGATAGTTGGGGGAGATTAATGGATGTTGGAGACAAGTTTGGGGAGAATAGCAGTTTCTATCTTTTTCGCTTGGGTACAAAGAAAGGAGGAGACTGAATTCTCGAAGGAGCCAAAAAAAGATAAAGAAGGTCCTCGAAGGACCCAGAAAAGATAAAGAAGGGAGTAGCCATTCAGGGTGTCGGGTGTCAGACATGAGTGAGGGCACCGACGTCTTACAAGTGATGAATGACAACAGCTGTTCATGTGTTTACTCCTCAACACGACTTCATCACGCTAGAGAAGTAATGTGTAATATGTGCGTGTGTCTTGAAGGAGTCAAGACACACACACCCACTATGTGTGTGTGTGTGTGTGTGTGTGTGTGTGTGTGTGTGTGTGTGTGTGTGTGTGTGTGTGTGTGTGTGTGTGTGTGTGTGTGTGTGTGTGTGTGTACCTTACTATTTGTATCTGCAGAATCGAGCTATTAGCTCTTGGACCCGTCTTTATAACCAATTTATTTTTCCTCTATTATGTCTATTACATATATTTCTCTCTAACACACGTACGCACACACACACACACACACACACACACACACACACACACACACACACACACACACACAGTTGATTGATTGACAGTTGAGAGGCGGGCCGTAAAGAGCAAAGCTCAATCCCAGCAAGCACAACTAGGTGAATACAACTAGGTGAATACACACACACACATCCCCAGGAAGCAGCCTGTAGCAGCCGTCTAACACCTGGTACCTATTTACTGTTAGGTGAAGGTTAGGTTAAGTTAAGTGAAAGAAACTCTGCCCATTTGTTTTTGCCTTGGCCGGGGATCGAACCCAAGCCCTTAGAACTACGACCCCAAAGCGCTGTCCACTGAGCCGCGAGGCCCTTTTGTACAGACCTAGTTGTGCTTGCGGAAGTTGAGCTCTGGCTCTTTGGTCAGCAAACCTGTCTGTTGTGTGTGTATATGTGTGTATGTATATACACTCATGCGTAGAGAAAAACTTCAAGTTTTCTCCGAGTGCACTTTATTCCCTTCTCTGAGGCTAAGTGCCCCTATAATTGCACGAGAGGTGGTACCCCCCTATATTGTGTGTATATATATATATATATAATATATATATATATATATATATATATATATATATATATATATATATATATATATATATATATATATATATGTCGTACCTAGTAGCCAGAACGCACTTCTCAGCCTACTATGCAAGGCCCGATTTGCCTAATAAGCAAAGTTTTCATGAATTAATTGTTTTTCGACTACCTAACCTACCTAACCTAACCTAACCTAACTTTTTCGGCTACCTAACCTATCCTAACCTATAAAGATAGGTTAGGTTAGGTTAGGTAGGGTTGGTTAGGTTCGGTCATATATCTACGTTAATTTTAACTCCAATAAAAAAATTGACCTTATACATAATGAAATGGGTAGCTTTATCATTTCATAAGAAAAAATTTGAGAAAATATATTAATTCAGGAAAACTTGGCTTATTAGGCAAATTGGACCTTGCATAGTAGGCTGAGAAGTGCGTTCTGGCTACTAGGTACGACATATATATATATATATATATATATATATATATATATATATATATATATATATATATATATATATATATATATCCCTTGGCGTGTCCAGTTCACAGTAACTTCCCGAAATTATGATCGGTAAGAGCCTTCACTTACGAGGAGCAGCAGTAGGTTGAGTGAGCACACTTCGCAACTCATCTCATTACTGAGAGCGGAAAAGATCCTGTGATACAAGGGTCGCTACTTTATAAAATTGTTTATCTTCACAGTGTCCCTAAAGTTGGAAGGAAAGCTCTTGACAACAATCGTGTCTCAAC